TGATCGTCCACTACCTGTTCAGTTTGTGTTCTTACATTGTGCCAACTCTGTATCTCGTTCTCTCTCTCGTTTACTCTTTCGTTAACTAGTTGGCTCTTATTGACGATGGCGTGTAAGGTTAGCTGTAATAAAAAGAGAAGTCGTAAGTCTCTCGATTTAAGTGCCAAGTTAGAGGATGATGGTGTTCCATTCTGATTTTATTCAATAAACACCCTGCCACTCACCTCTCACACTTTAATATTAATATTTTAAGTTAAGTAATAAGTGTACTCTGTGTGTATCTTACCTTTTATTGTGTTTTTAATGCCTATTTCTATTGCTAACTTAATATAAGTTAGTGTAAACTTGTTGTCTGGCATTTATTGCATATTTTATGTGTGCTCTGATAATAATACTTGTGGAGCTGTGTGGTAGCCGGGTGGAGGGACAACATTACGTTTTCTCTGTTCAGCCATCAGAGAAAACGTGTATGAATCTGCGTTTGGCCAAGCCACTCCCTCACTCCGCTTTTGTTTACAATTTTCGGCATGAATTATTCATTACTTCTACCTTCGTTTATGATGGCATCTAAAGGTAGTTGTTAGAAATGATTAAATTCAGTGAACAATGCATGTCGATGTTAATATGGCTCTGGGCCACAGTGTAGGTAGCCGGTAGGTGTAGCCCAGGCGGGCTACACCTACCGGCTACCTACACTGGCTTTCTACAAATAAGTACTACTCACCTCTCTTCCTATATTAAGACTACACATATTTTTAGGTAAATAATGAGTGTACTGTATGTGTATTTTACCTCTCTGGGATGTTTTAAATATCGTATATTAAGTATGAGACGGGGAGCCAGGGCTACCTACACCTGGGCTACCTGCACCTGACTTCCTACATATAAGTACTACTCACCTTTCTCCCTACATTAAGATTACAAATACTTTAAGATAAGTAATGAATTTACTGTGAATGTATTTTACTTTGTGTGTTTTTAATGCCTAGTTCTATTACTAACTTAATATAATTTAGTGTAAACTTGTTGTCTGGCATTTATATGCATTTATAAATGGAAAAAAATGGCGTTCTGCCTTCCGGCGATGTCTGCTTTCCGGCGGCAGCCTGGAACCTAACCCGCCGTATAAGTGGGGCCCTACTGTACTTGAATGTGTAGTGTGATCTAAGTGTAAGTAGAAGTAGCAACATACCTGATATCTTGCATGTTTATGAGACAGAAAAAAGATACCGGCAATTCTTTCTTTCTTTCAACACACCGGCCGTATCCCACCGAGGCGGGGTGGCCCAAAAGGAAAAACGAAAGTTTCTCCTTTTACATTTAGTAATATATACAGGAGAAGAGGTTACTAGCCCCTTGCTCCCGACCGGCAGTTCTACCATCATTTAAAACAATTACAGGCTTTCATTTCACACTCACTTGGCAGGATGGTAGTACCTTCCTAGGTGGTTGCTGTCTACCAATCTACTACTATATATATATATTTATATTTATTTATTTCTATTTATTATTTTATATTATTTTACTTGGCTATCTCCCACCAAGGTAGGATGTCTATTAATATATTGTACATAAAATGTGTATGTACTGTCTTTTTACAATGTATATGCTCCATTTAAACAATTGAGACACACCTGGAACTAATTGCTTCAGCTAATTAAGACTGCTTCACATAATATATAAGCTTGAATAATTGCCTGTTGTAAAAATAAATGTGTAGAAATAATTGTATTAATCTTAGTTATTTCTATCAGTGTTTAGCTTTAGTTAATGCACAGTCTTGTACAGTAGCTAAATATTTTTTTTTTTTTTTAACACTCCAACCGTCTCTCACCAAGGCAGGGTGACACACACAAAAAAAAAGATGAAACACTTTCACTATCATTCACTCTTATCATTCTCTTGTCAAGAGGTGCTCCTTCAGACTGCAAACGTCCCCACCCCTCCTCTAGAGTGCAGGCATTCTACGCCTCACCTTCAGCGTACAAGTTACCCTGAATTCTTCACAGAATATTATCATGTTCACACTCCAATAGCTAGTCAGATCCCAAAAACCATTCTGAAGTTTATATCACAGAATAAGTGACAGTTTGTTAAACAGTTAAATATAGCTGGCAAATTTGTATATATACTGTACAATGATTTACAAAGCACTTCAGGGACAATCATAGAAAAGATTGTTTTCAACATGTTTACCTGCACTGTAGTCAATTGTAGGGTCATTGACACCACAACCTGGTCCCAGACCAGGCCTCTTGGTTGGTGATGGCCGATGTGTTAAAAAAAATGCGCATATAGTATTTAATATAATGGTCCACAGAAATGAAATTTGATTTTTTTTTTTTTTTGTCTCACCCCCGTTGTTATGTTACACTAAAAAAAAAAAAATCATTCCACACCCATATTTTTTTTTTTTAAGGAGAGGCTAATCACTCAAACATTGTATGAAACACATTATGGCCAAGATACAGTCCTGTATTAGATTCTAATTCAGCTTCCACTTCAAGAAAATATAAGCCCCAATGTCTCTTATATTAAAGTAGATTTAAATGTGCTGCAGGGAAAATTGAAAGCACTCTCAGCATAGGTCCAGATTCCTCCTAGGACTCTGTTATAGCTCTGCAGCTGTTTTCCATAATTATAATGACTGAGAATTTATTGTTAAAGCTTCATTGAAAATATGCCAGAATGAAATCTCATTTCAAACTGAGTTGAATTGGAAAATCACTTGGGATCTTAATCTGATGAGATCAGTGTAGGGCTCCAAGTGTAGAGGTCTAAAGCCCTAGTTTTAATGACTGAATAATCTTGTTGCTATCTAGATATTGTAAGTCTCTTTCTCTGTGAGCATTGTGGCATTTTTATTATGCATACTCAATTTGTTTCCCATTTTAAATATGTTAAATAAATTGTATAATTCTCACAATTTGTATTCAAATAATCCACCTTTTACCATTATGGTTATTTATGCTGATATTCCACATGCCTCTGCTGCAAGCCTCCCCCTCATTAATGACTTCTTTGTGAGACAGTTTATAACTGTAATTATGTTAATGATCAAGTGAGAGAATAGTCAAGGTAAGGAGAGGTTGCTATGAGAGGTATCTGTGCCTGGAATACCAGTAAAACCTAAAAGTAAATTAGATCGGTTATTGTGGTGTCAAATATAATTATGATAACCAGTTAATTTTTTTTTTAACGCGGCCATTTCCCACCAAGGCAGGGTGACCCAAAAAGAAAGAAAAAAAACTTTCATCATTCAACACTTTCACCATCACTCATACATAATCACTGTATTTGCAGCGGCACTCAGATATGACAGTTTAGACGTCCCTCCAAATTGCCAGTATCCCAAACTCCTCCTTTAAAGTGCAGGCATTGTACTTCCCATTTCCAGGACTCAAATCTGGCTAACTGGTTTCCCTGAATTACAAAATATTACCCTGCTCACGCTCCAACAGCTTGTCAGGTCCCAAAAACCATTCATCTCCATTCACTCCTATCTAACACACTCCTGCAGGCTTGCTGGAAGTCCAATCCCCTCACCCACAAAACCTCCTTTACTCCCTCCCTCTAACCTTTTCGGGGCCAACCCCTACCTCACCTTTCTGCATGATATTTACACCAATGTGTGGTGTAACCAGTTAATTGTAAAGATTATTTCAGTGATTAAGTTATTAATCCTCCCATTTTCAGTTGCGTTCTTCTCTCTTCTTAGTGGCCACACATTACTAAACAATTATAACAGTGTTCACAAGCCTACACAATATGACAATATATGTATAAGACATCCAGGCTGGGGGCTTTCCACACTTGGTATCCCATTCTGATCCTATTTGGAATAGGCTCCCCAAATCAAATTCCCAGTTTTACTGACCCCCAGTTCATTGTACCTTGCAGTGCAGCTCAGTTTTGAATGAAAGCATTCAATTTTTTCACATCTCCAAATGAGGTTCTCTCAGCACATTGTCTGCTATGGAGATCCCTCATGGTTTGCTGACTGCAAAAGAGAAAATTACTTGCTTGTTCTCTCTAAAGTTCACTGGTATCCCATGTTTTAAAACTTTTTCAAACATTCAGCTTAATTTCTAGGATTTCTCTAGTTCAAATGATTATAAAAACTTGTTAATCTCAATAATGGACAAAACTGAGTAGCCAAATATCAGGTTTCCACACAATTGTGAGCAGGACTCACGAAATCGTAATGACATGATTGCAAACTAACCATACCACGGGCGGCTTCTATCCCTGCCAGTGGTATGGTTTAATTGTGAGCACTCATGAGTACTGATTAAAGATAATTGTGCAGCACTTCTCTCATAAAACTCACAAAAAATACTCATAACTAGTACAGTACAATCCTCATTGTCAGCCAACCTGTTTAATATGCAAAACAAAATGTATTCACATATGCCCTGTAATATGTAAAGAAGAGACAGTATGCAGGTTATTGCTTTTATTTACATTAATTTTGTGCTTGTGTAATAAGTACATGCATATTTTAAGACTACAGTAAGCCCTCAGCTTAATGGACTTAGAAAGAAATGTAGGAGTGGACAAAGTTCGTTCTTTACAGAATTTTTCATTATTGTTATGATCACATCAAAACAGTCTCATCTTTATTAAACACAGTTACCATTACCGGTAACCCACTTTCCTCTGTTAGTCTGTTAAGTCGAGGGTTAGCTGTATTTTGAAATCAAACACATTGCATTGTTGTTGGTAAGTAAAACAAGATACAGTACAATACTGTATTTGAAACCAAATCTTTCTACATTTCAGCTTAAACTAATTTATCATTTGCATTAATGTGCATAGAAATGTGAAAGCTTCTTCGTTTTGTGTACACTGTAGCTCTGTACTTAGTTGAGTATGTAGTGTTCATATAATATATTTAAGCAGTTACAGTTCACATTGGACTTGATCTCCATATGTGCAAGATATATGTGTGTTTTACAATGCTGTGCAGTATATCAGTGCCCAACTCACTCTTCCAACAGGTGGAGGCCATTATGGGACTGAGAGAGGTGAAAGGTCGTACAGAATATAAAGTACGCTGGAAAGGGTGGAATTCTAAATATGACTCATGGCTTGCAGAAGATGAATTGAATTGCCCAGAAATTCTGAAACGTTTTAATGCTACTCTTGACAAGTTGGAAAAGCAGGAAGATTGGCAGGTAAATATTTTGGTAATTTTATGTAATTTTTTTTCTTCCAACAAACCGGCCATATCTCACCGAGGCAGGGTGACTCAAAAAAAAAAAATGGAAGTTTTTCTTTTTAAATTTAGTAATTTATATAGGAGAAGGGGTTATTTTTATGTATATACAGTGGACCCCGCATACCGCATGCATCGCATACCGTACAATCCGCATACCGCTCACTTTTTTTCGCAAAAATTTTGCCTCGCATACCGCCCAAAAACCCGCTCACCGCCCTTCGTCCGAGACGTGTCCAATGTGCGGCCTGAGCCACGCTCACATGTTCCGCTGGTGGCATTGTTTACCAGCCAGCCTCCGCGGTAACATCCAAGCATACAGTCGGAACATTTCGTATTATTACAGTGTTTTTGGTGATTTTTTCTGGAAAATAAGTGACCATGGGCCCCAAGAAAGCTTCTAGTGCCAACCCTACAGCAATAAGGGTGAGAATTACTATAGAGATGAAGAAAAAGATCATTGATAAGTATGAAAGTGGAGTGCGTGTCTCCGAGCTGGCCAAGTTGTATAATAAACCCCAATCAACCATCGCTACTATTGGTGGTACAGCTGCTGCTGTACCACCATCAGCTGCTGCTGTACCACCGTCAGCTGCTGCTGCACTGTCAGCTGCTGCTGCTGTTGTACCACCGTCAGCTGCTGCTGCTGCTGTAGCATCGTCTCTGCTGCTGCTGTAGCATCGTCTGCTGCTGCTGTAGCATCGTCTGTTGCTGCTGTAGCATCGTCTGTTGCTGCTGTACCACCGTCAGCTGCTGCTGCTGCTGTACCACCGTTGTTGGTGTGGCTTATTGAGAATACCAAGAAACAATTAACCCCAGAGGATTTGCCACCCAGGATAACCCAAAAAAGTCAGTGTCATCGAAGACTGTCTAACTTATTTCCATTGGGGTCCTTAATCTTGTCTCCCAGGATGCAACCCACCCCAGTCGACTAACACCCAGGTGAACAGGGAAAAATGCCTGGAACTAGTGCTCATATTGGTGAATTTAAAGCCAGCAAAGGTTGGTTTGAGAGATTTAAGAATCGTAGTGGCACACACAGTGTGATAAGGCCTGTTCTGGAAGAAAATGCCAAACAGGACCTACAGTACTCAGGAGGAAAAGGCACTCCCAGGACACAGTGTCTCATCAGTCATTGCTGCATCTTCAATAAAGGTAAGTGTCATTTATTCTTCATTTAGTAGAGTAGTACATGCACAATATATATTGTGCATGTACTACTCTACTATTATGCATGTATCCTTCTCTTTGTGTGTAGGAAAATGTATATTTCATGTGGTAAAATTTTTTTTTCATACTTTTGGGTGTCTTGCACGGATTAATTTGATTTCCATTATTTCTTATGGGGAAAATTCATTCGCATACCGAACATTTCGCATAACAATCAGCCCTCTTGCACGGATTAAAGTCGCTATGCGGGGGTCCACTGTAATATATAAAATTTTTTTAATTATTTTAATCCTCTGACTGTTTTGGTCGTATATATACGTTTTACGAGCCACCGTTTTTGACATACATATATACTCATAAATTCTAGCGGCTTCAAATCAAGCAGGAGAAAGCTGGTAGGCCCACATGTGAGAGAATGGGTGTGTGTGGTCAGTGTGCACTGTATAAAAAAAATCCTGGAGCACGCAGTGCATAATGAGAAAAAAAACTCTGACCTTTTTTTTTTTTTAATTAAAATGCCGACTTTGTGGTCTATTTTCGTATAGTATTTATGGTTGTGTTCTCGTTTTCTTGGTCTCATTTGATAGATTGGAAAACATATAGAAATAGAGGTGATTTTGATTGGCTTTACTATATAAAGAACCTGACAGTGGAGCTCAAAGTAGGGAAAATGTTTGATTTTTGCCGATGTTCAAATGATTTATTGGAAAATGATGTCATTTTCCAATAAATGTCCAACTAGCCATTCTGATATGCAGTCATGAATGGGTTGACATTATTTGTACAATTATTTCAATATTGCAGTAGTCTGCATAATAGTAAATCTTCTATTTTTTGTTTGAATAAAATTCAAAATAGAAAGCAAGAGTAATAACAAGAGGGGACTGGAGACATGACTGATGAACAAAGAAAATGTTATTTTAGAGCCATGAATGTCTGCATTGTTCATTCTGGACCCTGTTTTGAAATTGTCATATTTTTTAATTTTCATGAAATTGGCCAAATTGCAAATTTCTGACCATGTTATTGGGTAGTTGAAATCAGTAAATGGGCAGTTTCTTGTACTCAGTCGATAGAAAAAAATGGAGTTCTAGAGAAATAGCTATGAGTTTGGTCGACTAGAACAATGGAGTTAGCCAAAAATTGGGCTCAAAGTGGGCGAAATCACCGATTTGCAAATATCGCTGAGGTTGCTAACTTTGCGAGAGCGTAATTCTGTCAGTTTTCCATCAAATTTTGTTCCTTTGGTGTCATTACCATTGGGAAAAGCTTGTCATTTCATAAGAAAAATAATTTTTTTTTTTTTTTTTTAAATTTTGGTGACACCAGGAGACACCTCAGGATTTGGGGTTGCGACAGTCAAGGGGTTAAATCATAAAATAAAACAATATCATTGAAAAATAAAGTGTGGGTTTGTGGGTTTGCTCCACCTATAGTATTGGTTGGAACAAACCCACAAGCCCACACTTTATTTTTCAAGCCCACACCGTAGAAAGGAAAACTGAAAGACGTGTTTTCCATCCTGGACCATTATGAAAGTATGAAAATTATTAGAGATGAAGTTTTGCAACATTGATATTTTTGTGATTGAGAGAAGAGTTTTTTTTTTTTTTTTTTTTTTTTTTTTTTTTTTTTTTTTTTTTTTTTTTAAGGATTAGTTTTTAGCTGTAATTACAAACAAACTGTTTACAACTGAAGTAAAAAAAAAAAAGACAGTACTGAAGGCAAGGCTTCCTTGGACAGTGATGTCAAAATAGACTATACTCTTCAGGTACTTTTATTTTGCAAAAATTTTTGGACGAAGCTGTAAGACATTTTAATACTGTATATGAATTATGTTCCAAAGGATTGGAAGAGAACATGCATAGTTCCTTTTGTATATTGGGAGGAAAAAAAAAAGAGATGAAAGAATGGGAAAATTAGAGGGAAATAAGCCTGTTGAGTATTCTGGGTAATGTGTATGGCAGAATTATCAAAAGAATTAAGGGGGTAAGACAAAGTAGAATTGCATAGAAACAGAATTATTTAAGAAGAGTAACAATGTTGCATATGTTTTAAGTACAGGAAGGCCCCGCTTTACGGCGTTTCACTTTACGGCGTTCCGCTAATACGGACATTTCAAATTATGACCAAAACTCGCTATACGGCTCCCCCCACCTGACTTTCTAATACGGTCACCGTGCCCCACCCTGTTTGTTTACATTCTCCATGAGCTCAGTAAGCACTAAGTCTCTCCATTTTGTCTGGAAACTCCAAAATTTCAAATGTTTTTAAAAGTTATTTCATATTTTATATATACTCTGATAATTATACTTATGTATACCTGTACCTAAATAAACTTACATACATCGAGTCATTTAAATGTCGTATATTACGTTAATATACACATTTTCATTAATCCATCCATGATATTTTTTTCAAAATTATATAATAAACACGATGCATAACATATAAATAAGATAAATACACCCCACAGTAGAATAAATAAACATAAATGTGAGATGTGGTAGCAGACGACTTGCACAAGTGACGCCATATTAGAAATGATAATAATAACAATACTCACCGAGTCTCATTAAATGTCGTATATACGGTAATATACACTTTTCATTAATCCATCTGAGTTTACCTGGAGAGAGTTTCGGGGGTCAACGCCCCCGGGGCCCCGGTCTGTGACCAGGCCTCCTGGTGGATCAGCGCCTGATCAACCAGGCTGTTGCTGCTGGCTGCACGCAAACCAACGTACGAGACAAAGCCCGGCTGATCAGGAACTGCCTTTAGGTGCTTGTCCAGTTGCCAGCTTGTAAGACTGCCAGGGGTCTGTTGGTAATCCCCCTTATGTGTGCTGGGTAGGCAGTTGAACAGTCTCGGTCCCTGACACTTATTGTATGGTCTCTTAACGTGCTAGTGACAACCCTGCTTTTCATGGGGGATGGTTGCATCGTCTGCCAAGTCTTTTGCTTTCGTAGTGAGTGATTTTCGTGTGCAAGTTCGGTACTAGTCCCATCTAGGATTTTCCAGGTGTATATAATCATGTATCTCTCCCTCCTGCGTTCCAGGGAATACAGGTTTAGAAACCTCAAGCGCTCCCAGTAATTGAGGTGTTTTTATCTCCGTTATGGCGCCGTGAAAGTTCTCTGTACATTTTCTAGGTCGGCAATTTCACCTGCCTTGAAAGGTGCTGTTAGAGTGCAGCAATATTCCAGCCTAGATAGAACAAGTGACCTGAAGAGTGTCATCATGGGCTTGATATTTTTTTCAAAATTATATAATAAACACGATGCATAACATATAAATAAGATAAATACACCCACAGTAGAATAAATAAACATAAATGTGAGATTGTGGTAGCAGACGACTTGCACAAGTGGTGATAATAACAATACTCGCCGAGTCTCATTAAATGTCGTATATTACGGTAATATACACATTTTCATTAATCCATCCATGATATTTTTTTCAAAATTATATAATAAACACGATGCATAACATATAAATAAGATAAATACACCCCACAGTAGAATAAATAAACATAAATGTGAGATGTGGTAGCAGACGACTTGCACAAGTGACGCCATAATAACAATACTCACCGAGTCTCATTAAATGTCGTATATTACGGTAATATACACATTTTCATTAATACATCCATGATATTTTTTTCAAAATTATATAATAAACACGATGCATAACATATAAATAAGATAAATACACCCCACAGTAGAATAAATAAACATAAATGTGAGATGTGGTAGCAGACGACTTGCACAAGTGGTGATAATAACAATA